TAGATATCAATCATATAAACCTGTGTAAGTCTACAGAAAACTATAGATATCAATCATATAAACCTGTGTAAGTCTACAGAAAACTATATATCAATCATATAAACCTGTGTAAGTCTACAGAAAACTATAGATATCAATCATATAAACCTTTGTTAGTCTACAGAAAACTATAGATAGCAATCATATAAACCCGTGTTAGTCTACAGAAACTATAGATATCAATCATATAAACCTGTGTAAGTCTACAGAAAACTATAGATATCAATCATATAAACCTGTGTAAGTCTACAGAAAATATAAATTTCAATCATATAAACCTGTGTAAGTCTACAGAAAATATAGATATCAATCATATAAACCTGTGTAGTTTACAGAAAACTATAGATATCAATCATATAAACCTGTGTAAGTCTACAGAAAACTATATATCAATCATATAAACCTGTGTAAGTTGATTACAAGTAAGTCTGATTGAATCTACGAAATTTTAAGATAAGGTAACAGATAAAGAAAACCTGAACAAATCATTATCTGACTTAGATTTATATTGGATAGGCAACTCACTGAATTCATGTATGAATGAAACCAGGGTTGGTTTGGTAGAATAAGGGGTGCAATCTCCGTAGACAAGGATATACACATATGCAATTCCAATATCAATATTGTTTGTATTTTTACTCCTCAGTGAGAAGAAACTGTCCACGTGGTTGAAGTTACTGTTCAGGACACAGACACTGATAGATCAGTACTACCAGGACTGGAGCTATGTGGCCCGCACCAGTAGGTCTAATACTCAGGATGTTGTCAGGGGATTAGTTATATATAGAGCTATGTGGTCACACCAGTAGGTCTAACACTCAGGATGTTGTCAGGGGTTTAGTTATATATAGAGCTATGTGGCCCGCACCAGTAGGTCTAACACTCAGGGTGTTGTCAGGGGATTAGTTATATATAGAGCTATGTGGTCACACCAGTAGGTCTAACACTCAGGATGTTGTCAGGGGATTAGTTATATATAGAGCTATGTGGCCCGCACCAGTAGGTCTAACACTCAGGATGTTGTCAGGGGTTTAGTTATATATAGAGCTATGTGGTCTGCACCAGTAGGTCTAACACTGAGGATGTTGTCAGGGGATTAGTTATATAGAGAGCCATATGGCCGCACCAGTAGGTCTAACACTCAGGATGTTGTCAGGGGATTAGTTATATATAGAGCTATGTGGGCCGCACCAGTAGGTCTAACACTCAGGATGTTGTCAGGGGTTTAGTTATATATAGAGCTATGTGGTCTGCACCAGTAGGTCTAACACTGAGGATGTTGTCAGGGGATTAGTTATATAGAGAGCCATATGGCCGCACCAGTAGGTCTAACACTCAGGATGTTGTCAGGGGATTAGTTATATATAGAGCTATGTGGGCCGCACCAGTAGGTCTAACACTCAGGATGTTGTCAGGGGTTTAGTTATATATAGAGCTATGTGGTCTGCACCAGTAGGTCTAACACTGAGGATGTTGTCAGGGGATTAGTTATATAGAGAGCCATATGGCCGCACCAGTAGGTCTAACACTCAGGATGTTGTCAGGGGATTAGTTATATATAGAGCTATGTGGCCCGCACCAGTAGGTCTAACACTCAGGATGTTGTCAGGGGTTTAGTTATATATAGAGCTATGTGGTCTGCACCAGTAGGTCTAACACTGAGGATGTTGTCAGGGGATTAGTTATATAGAGAGCCATATGGCCGCACCAGTAGGTCTAACACTCAGGATGTTGTCAGGGGATTAGTTATATATAGAGCTATGTGGGCCGCACCAGTAGGTCTAACACTCAGGATGTTGTCAGGGGTTTAGTTATATATAGAGCTATGTGGTCTGCACCAGTAGGTCTAACACTGAGGATGTTGTCAGGGGATTAGTTATATAGAGAGCCATATGGCCGCACCAGTAGGTCTAACACTCAGGATGTTGTCAGGGGATTAGTTATATATAGAGCTATGTGGGCCGCACCAGTAGGTCTAACACTCAGGATGTTGTCAGGGGTTTAGTTATATATAGAGCTATGTGGTCTGCACCAGTAGGTCTAACACTGAGGATGTTGTCAGGGGATTAGTTATATAGAGAGCCATATGGCCGCACCAGTAGGTCTAACACTCAGGATGTTGTCAGGGGATTAGTTATATATAGAGCTATGTGGGCCGCACCAGTAGGTCTAACACTCAGGATGTTGTCAGGGGTTTAGTTATATATAGAGCTATGTGGTCTGCACCAGTAGGTCTAACACTGAGGATGTTGTCAGGGGATTAGTTATATAGAGAGCCATATGGCCGCACCAGTAGGTCTAACACTCAGGATGTTGTCAGGGGATTAGTTATATATAGAGCTATGTGGCCCGCACCAGTAGGTCTAATACTCAGGATGTTGTCAGGGGTTTAGTTATATATAGAGCTATGTGGGCCGCACCAGTAGGTCTAACACTCAGGATGTTGTCAGGGGATTAGTTATATATAGAGCTATGTGGCCCGCACCAGTAGGTCTAACACTCGGGATGTTGTCAGGGGATTAGTTATATATAGAGCTATGTGGCCCGCACCACTAGGTCTAACACTGAGGATGTTGTCAGGGGTTTAGTTATATATAGAGCTATGTGGGCCGCACCAGTAGGTCTAACACTCAGGATGTTGTCAGGGGATTAGTTATATATAGAGCTATGTGGCCCGCACCAGTAGGTCTAACACTCGGGATGTTGTCAGGGGATTAGTTATATATAGAGCTATGTGGCCCGCACCACTAGGTCTAACACTGAGGATGTTGTCAGGGGTTTAGTTATATATAGAGCTATGTGGGCCGCACCAGTAGGTCTAACACTCAGGATGTTGTCAGGGGATTAGTTATATATAGAGCTATGTGGCCCGCACCAGTAGGTCTAACACTCGGGATGTTGTCAGGGGATTAGTTATATATAGAGCTATGTGGCCCGCACCACTAGGTCTAACACTGAGGATGTTGTCAGGGGTTTAGTTATATATAGAGCTATGTGGGCCGCACCAGTAGGTCTAACACTCGAGATGTTGTCAGGGGTTTAGTTATGTTTAGAGCTATGTGGCCCGCACCAGTAGGTCTGATACTCAGGATGTTGTCAGGGGTTTAGTTATATATAGAGCTATGTGGGCCGCACCAGTAGGTCTAATACTCAGGATGTTGTCAGGGGTTTAGTTATATATAGAGTTATGTGGCCCGCACCAGTAGGTCTAATACTCGGGGTGTTGTCAGGGGATTAGTTATATAGAGCTATGTGGTCTGCACCAGTAGGTCTGATACTCAGGATGTTGTCAGGGGATTAGTTATATATACACATATTTTGTGAGCTTAGTTCAATAGACACAACCAGGATATATATTGTATCTGCAATATGTTGTCTTATTTATCAATAGACACAATCAGGCAAATTGTTCCCATCTAGACCCAACCAGGAAGCTTTGCTATCAGGAATCTGTTGTCTTATTTACATGTGTACATAACCAGGGCCCGTATTCATGAAAGCGATCTCATGCTCAAAAGTAAATTTTTGTACAAGTTATAAATTGATAAAAATATCTTGGTTTGTCATGTGTTGGAATTTTTTTTGAAGAAACTTAAAGCCGAATACTGATTTCAGTGTTTTACTTGTGAATTTTTGAACGTTTGACATGATTTATTTTGAACGTTTGACATGGTTTAAGTAATTTACAAGAAAGATGGTTTGAGCACAGAATCCATGTTTGGGCAGGAGAATGGTTCCATGAATACAGTCCCAGGATTAACTGAGATACAAATAGAAAAGATAAACAATAATTTACTCTGGGCTCTATTTTAATTTCAGGTTTTTATGATATTTATCAATGACTGTACTAATGAGAGGAAACTTTGATTTTCAGGCTTTGATGATTCACTGAAATCCATGGATAGACTGAGTAAAGTTAACTTCCAGTTACCTGTAGACCTGGCTGTGAGGCCATTCAGTAACATCAAGGATGCATTTTAGGACCTTTCAATCCACACCTATCTGAGACAAAGCTACCTTGTGTTACCGGTGCAGAATTAGGCTCACTTCATAATAGAAGTTAGATGTTCTTGTATTTTAAAGTTTTTTGTGAAAGCAAAATGCAACAAAAAGAACCAATTTCTGAGGAATAATTCCTGATGAAAATACTAACGTCTGAACAGAATCAAATTTGATTGCATTATTGGCAAATCTAGATAAATGTAGCTGTCTGTAGAAGTACAGGTGTTCTTATGTTACATTGCAATATTGGTGATGATCAGACTCTTGTTTGTAAGCCTTAAGATGGAAAACGTGGGAACAGGGGAATGGTTAATACAAAGGATTGAGAGGAAATGATGGCATGTTTGTAGATCTTACGATTGAGAGAATGATGACGTGACTTACTATGGAGGGAGAGAGTAATGATGAGTCTCATATGACATGTAATAATTGATTGTGATAATAATTATAAACAGTGCTGGTTGCTGAACTGGTCAATGTAAACTAAAGCCAAAAATACGTCCTCGTTTATATTGCTTGAATCTTCTCTTCATTAAGCTGTTGTTTTTATGTAAAGAGTTAATAGCATTCAGTCAACAGTTTTAATTAAAAATAGAATGAAATCGCATTCAAACTAAAAAAAATCCACCTAAAATAATATGGAAACCACTTTTGGGTTGAAAAGCTTCTTTTTAAATCAAAATAACATTGCCAAGAACTAGTAATTCATTTTTTTCAAACCAAGGTAGCTATGGATTCCACTTTAGTACGTTTTTATTCATTTCATTCTTAGAAATATACACAGCTCTATTTCATGGAAAACATCACTGACATTTATAAGCTCACATTGTAACTTTGTCTTTGTAACACTACTAGTCCATGACAGTTTAGGGGATTCTGACGAAATTTGGTATGTAACATCCCTCAGAAACGGGAATTCAGTGTTGAATAAATAAACAGTGCCGCGCCCCCCCTTGTCTAAGTCAAACTGGGATGTTATACCTTTTTACTTTAGACTTATTTGTCGACTGTTATTTAATGCTGCTGACAAGATCCCCTAAAACAGGTTTTACCTACTGACTCTTCATTTCTTGAGCATGTGACAGGAAACCTTTCATTAGTTATGATATGTTAAAAAATTAATGAGATTCATGGCCAAGACGAAGCTTGTGAAATACAAAATATTGTTGATTTAAATTATTGTTATTTTATTCACGTTATTCAGACATAGGTTAGTTATGCATATCAAGTCACAAAGTACCACATTCCACCAGTTTGTTTATCATATATATCAATTTATATTCAAGTTTTAATTATCTTGAATCGATAATCTATAAAGTAAATAGTGTCTATTTTAACAATATAAGAATATCATGTACAATGTAATTAGTTCTCGACAATACGACTGCTGAAACTTTTCACATGATTTTCTAATCATGGTAAATAATGATTTCTCACTTTTAAAAGTTTTAACAGTTGTAACATAAACATTATGTTTCCTAACAGTTGTTACATAAACATAATCTTTCCTAGTAGTTGTTACATAAACATTGTTTCCTAACAGTTGTTACATAAACATTGTTTCCTAACAGTTGTTACATAAACATTGTTTCCTAACAGTTGTTACATAAACATTATGTCTCCTAACAGTTGTTACATGAACATTGTTTCCTAACAGTTGTTACATAAACATTATGTTTCCTAACAGTTGTTACATAAACATTGTTTCCTAACAGTTGTTACATAAACATTATGTTTCCTAACAGTTGTTACATAAACATTATGTTTCCTTACAGTTGTTACATAAACATTATTTTATTTTTCCTTACAGTGGTTACAAAAACATTATGTTTCCTAACAGTTGTTAAACATTATGTTTCCTAACAGTTGTTACATAAACATTATGTTTCCTAACTCTTTACATTCTGTTCCATTTATTCAGTATACATTTGAAGAATTCCAAAGAATCCGTTGAAATTTGTCTGGTATTTGGTTTTCTACAAAACAGATTTATTATTTTATGAAATCCATTAATCTTGATAGAGTTTTATTGAGAATAAATAACTTCAAAAGTTTCCCTTTAAATGTCATGGTGATCTGATGAATTCCATTGATACATATTTACTGGTATTAAGTTTACTTTCCTATATGAAGAGGTTTTATGTATTACAAAAGATTTTTCTCCAGATTTGTTTAGTTTTACACCTAGTGTGTGTAATGTTGTTATTGATTTCTCATGTTTACGACATTTTGTTATTCTTTTCTGTATTGTTGATATTTTGTGTTGTCAATTATTTTCTATAAATATTGTATAATTTTAGTTTTTGACCTTTTGACATAGCTCAAGAAAATGGACCACTAACAGATGGCACAAAATTCTTGTAATTAAGTATTCTGTTCCGTTATAAACTCTGTTAAGTTTAGGTATTAGTGGGAAAAGAATCGGTTATGGATGGGGATAGTGAAAGGGTAGGGGGTATGGATTAATGGGATATGGATAGGGATAGTTAAAGGGTAGGGGGTATGGATTAATGGGATATGGATGGGGATAGTGAAAGGGTAGGGGGTATGGATTAATGGGATATGGATGGGGATAGTGAAAGGGTAGGGGGTATGGATTAATGGGATATGGATGGGGATAGTGAAAGGGAAGGGGGTATGGATGAATGGGATATGGATGGGGATAGTTAAAGGGTAGGGGGTATGGATTAATGGGATATGGATAGGGATAGTGAAAGGGTAGGGGGTATGGACTAATGGGATATGGATGGGGATAGTTAAAGGGTAGGGGGTATGGATTATAACAGTGATAACATATGATAAAATGTGGAAAATAAGTTGAACAATTTGAAATATGTGTGGTATCCGAAGTTTACGGTCATTTCCAAGGTAAAATATTTATATTAATATAGCATTAAGCTAACCAAACTTTGAACTACAAGGTTGTATTGTTTTTGATAATCTACCAATGTTGACATGGCCTATTTGTTTACAGAATCTCACGAGAAGTGTAGGTTTTTGTTGTTTGCATTATTTATTTGCTGTCAATACTGAGCTGATAATTAGCATCAATCTTAAAGTGTGTTGGATTTCTTGAAATATTGTGATTATGAAAGCCTGTCCTGGTGTACACGTGCACTATACTGTATACAGCTGGTCAGTGTATTGTCTGTTACAGGTCGACACTGTAAGTGTTGTAGAGGTTAAGGACAGCCTGTCCTGGTGTACACCTGGACTATACTGTATACAGCTGGTCAGTGTATTGTCTGTTACAGGTCGACTCTGTAAGTGTTGTAGAGGTTAAGGACAGCCTGTCCTGGTGTACACCTGGACTATACTGTATACAGCTGGTCAGTGTATTGTCTGTTACAGGTCGACTCTGTAAGTGTTGTAGAGGTTAAGGACAGCCTGTCCTGGTGTACACCTGGACTATACTGTATACAGCTGGTCAGTGTATTGTCTGTTACAGGTCGACTCTGTAAGTGTTGTAGAGGTTAAGGACAGCCTGTCCTGGTGTACACCTGGACTATACTGTATACAGCTGGTCAGTGTATTGTCTGTTACAGGTCGACTCTGTAAGTGTTGTAGAGGTTAAGGACAGCCTGTCCTGGTGTACACCTGGACTATACTGTATACAGCTGGTCAGTGTATTGTCTGTTACAGGTCGACTCTGTAAGTGTTGTAGAGGTTAAGGACAGCCTGTCCTGGTGTACACCTGGACTATACTGTATACAGCTGGTCAGTGTATTGTCTGTTACAGGTCGACTCTGTAAGTGTTGTAGAGGTTAAGGACAGCCTGTCCTGGTGTACACCTGGACTATACTGTATACAGCCGGTCAGTGTATTGTCTGTTACAGGTTGACTCTGTAAGTGTTGTGGAGGTTTAGGACAGCCTGTCCTGGTGTACACCTGGACTATACTGTATACAGCTGGTCAGTGTATTGTCTGTTACAGGTCGACTCTGTAAGTGTTGTAGAGGTTTAGGACTAATTAGCTGCGGGTGTTAAATAGTTGATGTTAGGAGTAATTAGTTGTATTATTAGAGGTTGTGTTCTATACCAAGTGTTCATGGCTGGGTGGAGGGGTAAATATATGTAATTATATCTGGATCATAGCTATAATGGTTCAGTAGTATATAACTGTAGTCAGTGGAAAGGGGTCAATATTACCATTATTACCATTAATATTCATTCTTTTGGTAAAGAATATATATATATATAAACAGTGCAATACAGCACTTTTTCCAGGAAAATACTGTTTCAGATTTTTATATATAATGAAGTATTTGGTCCCTTGGGGGTTCTTATAAAAGAATTTTATTGTAATGGTAGGATGTACACACATTTTGTGCCATGGTTCCTACTTTTCCATTATAACCATTACATAAAGAGGCTATAAAGTTAAGTCTTTGATGCTATGATATTTATATGAGAGGTGTTGATTATAACTTCCCAAATGTCCATATAACCCACTTGTCAACATCATTAGTCTAAGTCATTGTATAAAATATTGGCTTTTGCCGCTTTGACAATGAATGTGAAACTAACTGCGGAAACCATAGCTCAAGGTCCGATCAACATTTTTATTTTGAAATTTTAGATTATTGGACCAAAATATTTCAATATATAAAAAGGTGATTGGACCTTGAGCTACAGTCCCGCAGCTAATGTGGGAGGTGATTGGACCTTGAGCTACAGTTCCGCAGCTAATGTGGGAGGTGATTGGACCTTGAGCTACAGTTCCGCAGCTAATGTGGGGCTTGATATTGCTGTGAATTCTTGAATATTTCAATGGTAATTTTACGATCTATATATGTAACAATTATGTGCAATATTGATAAAGACCATTTGTCTTTGATACTCTACCTGAACATCTGTCATAGAAACACTTTAACAATAAAATAGTCTGTTGACTATAAATCTGGCTATTTTAATGTCTGACTGCATTTCAGGACTGTTCTAGCATTCTCTCATTTCCAAATCAGGTTTTATTGTAAGGATGAGTTCCTTCTGATGATTATACAAATCTGTGATGTCTATGAATAATAAGGGTTGTGAACATACGATAAAGATTGTTATTTTGAACCTACATGATAAGTGAATCAGTAGAAGTTATTTTTCCTTGCATTTCAGCAATTTGTGCAATTTATTTCACTGTTAATGCGTTTGTGTATTTTACTTTCCGTCCTTAGTTGTTTTTCTGTTAAACAGTACTATATCCACTGTCTTTAGAATGTGAAGATAAATCTTACTCTGTTGCTTATTCTTGCGAAATTATGTTTTGTTGTAGGTTGTTGAACATATTTTTGTCCAACTGTTGTGACTATTTGTTGTTTGCTGCCTAGAGTTAATACTGGTCACACGTGCAGCATCCCCCTACAAACAGCAGTCTATTGTAGTGAACGATACATACACGACAGATACATTACACATGAATACACTGTCATTGTAACCATGAATCATCTTGTGAAATGTAACAAGTGAAAACAAATAAAATTAAATCTGAAGATTTTTATTATTGACCCAACTAGTCTTAGTCCTTTGTGAAAGAAGAGTGTGATGGCATAAGATATGCACTTTCAGATGATAAAAATCTATTTTTGGACTACAAAACTATTGCCTGTATAAAAAAACAAGAGGCCCATGGGCCTTAACGGTCACCTTATATATTTATACAGAGAGTTGATTTTGTTTTTAACACGAACAGAAATATTATTCAAAGTGACAAAAAACAATAAAACCACCTTATTCAATATCTAGCATACAGATTTAGACTAAAAAGTATTTGAAACTAGCACCTCTGATTCTAAACAAGGAAAATGAAGAAATTTTAGCACACTGACTCATTTGGGCCCCACCCTACAGCCCTTGGTGGTAGGGCTGGCTCAAAATTTTCAAACTATCAAATTGTCAACTCCGGGTTATAATTCCAATCAAGTTATTAACATGTAATATTCAAAGTATCATTTGCCGTTATAAACCATAAAAAATTTTGCCCCCCCCCCCCTCCTTCCCCAGGGGGTAAACGTGAGCCCCTAGGGTCATAAAACTTAAGACCCTTCCATCTATGAAGAGTGTTTGATTCTACCATATCTGGGTCTTTGGGAAGAAGAGTTTTGAAATTTCAGTCAATTCAACCCTTTTTGGCTCCACCCATCAGCCCCGGGGAGTCAGTCAGGGCTCATATGTGCATACCATAAAACTGCTATGCAATACTGATAATGCTAACCAAAATTGAATTACTTCCAATGGAAATTAAACAAATGTTGGTCCAAAATGTGATTTCCCTATATAAACTATAGTAAAGTTTACCCCCTCCCCAGGGCGAAACGTGATACCCCAGGGTAATAAAATTCACAATTTCGGTAAAACATCTTAAGACCCTTCCATCTATAAAGTGTGTTTGATTCTACCATATCTGGGTCTTGAGAAGAAGATTTTTGAAATATCGGTCAATTCGACCCTTTTTGGCCCCGCCCATAAGCCTCGGGGGGTCAGTCAGGGCTCATATGTGCATACCATAAAACTGCTATCCAATACTGATAATGCTAACCCAAATTGAATTATTTCCAATGGAAAGTAAACAAATGTTGGTCCAAAATGTGATTTCCCTATATAAGCTATAGTAAAGTTTACCCCCTCCTCAGGGGTAAACGTGATACCCCAAGTTCATAAAATTCACAATTTTGGTAAAGCACCTTAGGACCCTTGCATCTATGCAGAAAATTTGATTCTACTATATCTTCGTCTTGAGAAGAAGATTTTTGAAATTTCAGTCAATTCGACCCTTTTTGGCCCCATCCATCAGCCCCTGGGAGTCAGTCAGGGCTCATATGTGCATACCATCAAACTGCTACACAATACTGATAATGCTAACCTAAATTGAATTACCTCCAATGGCAATTAAACAAATGTTGGTCAAAAATGTGATTTCCCTATATAAACTATAGTAAAGTTTACCCCCTCCCCAGGGGGAAACGTGATACCCCAGGGTCATAAAATTCACAGTTTTGCTAGAGCACCTTAAGACCCTTCCTTCTATGAAGTGTGTTTGATTCTACCATATCTGGGTCTTGAGGAGAAGATTTTTGAAATTTCAGTCAATTCAAACCTTTTTGGCCCCACCCATCAGCCCTGGGGTGTCAGTCAGGGCTGATATGTGCATACCATAAAACTGCTATCCAATACTGATAATGCTTACCCAAATTAAATTATTTCCAATGAAAATTAAACAAATGTTGGTCAAAAATGTGATTTCCCTATATAAACTATAGTAAAGTTTACCCCCTCCTCAGGGGGAAACGTGAGACCCCAGCGTCCTGAAATTCACAGTTTTGGTAAAGCACCTTAAGACCCTTCCATCTAATCTATGAAGAGTGTTTGATTCTACCATATCTTGGTCTTGAGAAGAATATTTTTGAAATTTCAGTCAATTCGACCCTTTTTGGCCCCACCCATCAGCCCCGGGGGGTCAGTCAGGGCTCATATGTGCATACCATCAAACTGCTA